CCAATCAAAGGTCTACACACGGGATAAAATTCGAACAGTTTCCAGCCCTCGTTCGGACTTGAAGAGGCCGTTCTCTTTCGTTGCAAGCAAGCAGAAGTCGTACCCTCGTCCCTTCGTCCACCGAGCATCATCCCTGCTCGTCGGCATCTAAGCAGACCATAGCCGTGAGCTCCTCTTTAGCGGCAGCGACCATCGTCGGAAGGTGACCAAGCAGCAGCGGCCATCTTCGGAAGGTGACCAGCAACCGAGGAGAACAACCACTGCAATACCATCACCATTTGTCAACCACCGAGAAGTTACAAATAAGCCGGGAAGAGAAAACGGAGCAACAACCGTGCTCTGTCCGTGAGGAGAGACCGGGTACAACAGCTAGTCCCGTCATCTTCATCCTCACCGTCGATTGGAACTCTGCCACGGTTTTGTCTGATCGTGTGTCCATGGTGACATCTGGTTGATGTGGTGATTTGAGGGCCCAATTTGGGATGATAGATGTGGTAATTATAGTTGATTATTTTAAGTACTTTTATAGGCAGATTTGGATCTTTGTAAATAAATATTAATTGAATGTAAATATGTAATATAAAATATATCAAGTATGAGGTGTAAATTTCTCGAAATTTTTCACTCGGGCCCTAAAATGTTTCTTACTTCGGCCTGGCGGGCCCAATATGCCTCCTATCACGTTGCGTGCATCAAATTATATGTAAATCAAACAATCATTCATTAAATAATTTAAAATAGTTAATTTAAAATAAAATAATTCTTTGTGATGATACGCCGAAAGCACAATAGGGATTCTCAATTCCAGATTTCAAATCCATTTAGGTGAAGGTAGATAGATTATTCGCTCATGTTTGTTTGCGATATTCTAACCACTTTGACCAATAATAAGCAAAACAGAGTTTAAAAAATCCCAAAAAAACGAGCATAATTGTGCAATTCGTTATCCTATTTTTAGACTATTTTTTTTAGTAACTACAATGTGATTTAATTATTGTTTTCAATAATAATTCATTTAATTCCAAAACTAAAAAATTGAGTCGAATCGTGTGTTCCGTTACAGTTTGATTCATTTATTTCAGCGTGATTTTTTTTTAATTTAATTTATTTTGATTTATTCTTATATTGAGTGTGACACGATTATTACTATATATAGATTTTTTCTTTTTTTCAAGGTCATTTCTGGTTAACCGCATCCAAATAGAATGTGCAGCGATGGCGTATTCAATCCTACCTCATGGGGTAGTGCCCCCATTGAGTTTTAGCCACACAATCACATACACACTCACATGGATGTGTGTGTGAAACATGTGGCTAAATAGGGCTGAGCATGGACTCGGAGAATTCTAAACCGTACAAAAAATCGAACCGAAATCACTCCGTACCGAAAAATAACCGTTGATCGTGTGACTTTCTCCGAACTGAACCGAACCGAAAAAATAATTGGTACGGTTTTGGAGATTTCACAAATATCCGTACCGTGAACCGAACCGAACCGTCCCGTATTGTATCGAACCGAAGAACCGAAATTAAGAACCGAATTATAACATTAGATGTGTTAATAATATATTTTATGTCAACTTTGATTTTATGTAATATAGTAATAAATATTACATCTCACTTAAATTTCATGCTTAGTAATACTTGATCTACAATTGAATTTTTTTCTATTATAAAATAATTATTTAAAATAATATGAAAGTTTAAAGAATTTTTTTAAGAAAAAAATATTATATTTTATTTGAATTTTAAATTTTCAATATTAGTTGTACAAATTTAGTTATAACTAAAATTTAGAGTTACTTATAAAGTTGATTTCAAAATAAAATCTTAATGTGAAGAAGTACTGATGAATGTTGATTTTATTAAAGCATATATAAAAATTAAATAACTAAAATTTAGAGTTACTTCTAAAATTGATTTCAAAATAAAATCTTCAATATGATGAATTATTAACGAATGTTGTTTTTTTAAAGCATATAAAAATTAAAATATAACACTGTAGTCATTCAAAAATAATAATAAAAAAAAAAAAAATC